TTAGAGAATTTAAGGTTTTTAAGACAACGAGTGAGGTTGTGTAGAAGACAGACAAAGACTGGCAACAGGCCCTGCTGCGTCAAAATGCTGACTGGGAAGAGAATCGTCAGCGGGGAGATGTGCCTAATGTCCTCCGAGGATAACGCGTGAATCCCCTCCCTGAGTTCATCTGGTCTCATGAACCGTGTGAGAAACTAAACTCTACCCGCGTGAGCAGTGTTCATTTAACACAGTCCACCCTCCCTGCATGCTCCTGTGCACCAATTATTGTACACCTACTGAGAGCAGATTCATAATAAACGAAACCTTCTGCGAGGTTCTGGAAGGGAGACTTAGCAACGTGTAGCAAAGACCAGTAAGTTGAATGGACATAATTTCATAATAATCCTTTTGAGGCAGCTAGCAAAAGAAATCTGACTCTACTGATTCAACTAACTCTCTAGAAGTCCGAAGAGGAAGAGGAAACAAACATTTCCCCTAGAAGTGTCGTTGTCTTTGCCAATTAATTAAGCCTAAGTAGGGTATGGGCTATAGGTTCAGCCTTCCAGAGGAAGTGACAGGTCCGGAGGTTATGCAAATAAAGCCGCCTGGGGCGAAGCGCTGCAGAAGGAAGGGGAAAGGGAGACCGCTTCACAACCGGAGCAGGAGAGGAACCGAGCAACACCCTACCCCTCGGTCAGCGCCAGCGAGGGCATGTTGGTCAGTCTCCTCGATGCTGCCGCAAGCTCCCAACAGCAAAGCCTGTTAACACTGATTTAAAAATATAAAAACTATGCAATGTTCCAAAATGCCTGCAGCCTCTCCATGACCTCAGCTGCAATCAGAGAAGCAGAAAATTGTCCCAAGACTCAAACACCAAACCCAACAACTGAAGGAAATGGGAGGGTGAGGTCAAGGAAGTGGCTTAGCTGGAGAAAGAGCAAGGCTGGGAAGGGGTCATCAGTGTCCCTTCCTGCAACTCTCTCCCGTTTCTACCTGAGATGCCTTAGATGAATATCCTTAACTGAAAGTCAAGAGCCCTGGACTCTGCCCAAGGCATCAGTGTTTCTTTTTTTTTTTCTTTTTTCTTTCTTTTTTTTTTTTTTTTGGTGTACTCAAGGGTATGTTTTCTGTCACTGAAAACAACAGATGTATTCAGAGTGTGTACTTTATTAAACTGTATTTCCCCCACCCCACCCCGTACCTCTGGCAACCAGCCATCAGCTGTCAGCATCTGTACTTCTGAGGGAGGAGCAGGAAGTTAAAGGGAACCTCGGTCCTCTTCCTGACTGCTCAGCTCTGAAGGACCCCAACCCAGCCCCCAACCCCCTTCTCCGTCAGTATTCACTTCCTGGGTCACCGGACCAGGCTCATGGATTTGATAACATCCACGTACGAACAACTCCATGATATCCAGAGCCTAGGGAATCTAGCAGATACTTCAGACTTCACATATCCAAACTGGAAGTGTGATTTCCATCTCTCAACCCAAACCCACTTCTGCGTTCAGACACCATATGTGGGAGATGCTCTAGACCAGGTGACATGGTCCCTGGAGAAGTCAAGGTCTAGGGGAAGAACAGGAGGGAGGAAGGAATTACTGTCACTGCATGTTCATTCCATGTGTCAGCTCATTCTCACCCCCCAGTGAGGCCGCCACTGTCATCACCACTTCACAGCAGGAAGGCTGAGTCTCAAGGAGCTGAACAGCTGGGCAGAGATGACCACATAAGTTTTGTACTCTCCACGGTCCCCATCTGTCCCCTCTGAACCTGCCCACTCCTGCCCTGCTCTGTCCCCGGGATCCTGATGTCTGTCATGCACATCACCCAGCACCCCACCCCCACAATGGAAAGGACCAGCAGGAGCTGGGAGGGCAGCACAGTGACTCCTACCTCCCAGCCCCCGGGCTCCTTGCCTGACTCCCTGGGTTCTGACCAAGTTGCACTTCTCAGCCCAGCCCCGCTCCTTACCAGGACCCAGTAGGACCACGGCCTTCTGCTGCCCCTGCAGGCCAGCAGTGGTAAGAGGGAGGGACTACTTGAAGGCTGGGGATCAACCTCAGCCCCACCCATACTTCTGGAGATAGTCCTTCTGATAGGAGCAGGACTATTTCTTTATTTTTTAATAGAGGTACTGGGGATTGAACCCAGGACCTTGTGCATGTTAAGCATGCCCTCTGCCACTGGGCTAAACCTTCTCTGCTCTGTCTCTCCAGTTCTTGTTTGTAGGAAATAGGCTTCATTCAGCCTCCTTGAGTCCCCTGAGTTCCAAAGGGCAGATTCAAACAGTTAGTCAGGGAAGGGAGGAACAGCCAAGAAACAATAGCACAGCCTTGGTGCAGGGTCCTGGTTCCTCCTCAAGGAACAGATAGAACAATATCTTTAAGTTCTTCTGCAGGAACTAAGGTCCCCAGCTCCCTCCTGCCTCTCGTTTACAGCTGGGCAGACTCTTCAGAGATGATTTTTTGAGCGGACATTAGGTCCACCAGCTTGCCAGGATTCTGGTTAAAAGCAACTTTCCTTTTTGTTACTAAGTCTGGTGCCCCCAGGATCATATCCCAGCCCCTCCCTTGACTAGAAACCAATGACCCTTACCCGTCTCAGGAGAAGAAGCCAGAACTGGTCAGAACCAATGGACCCCAAGATGGCGGAGGATCTGCCGTCCAGTGGACCTTGAGCCTCATTATATGCTCACTGTAATGTATTAGGTGCTAAACGACATGCCCACCAGCACCATGACAGGTGATGGTTGCCATGACAACAGCCAGAAAAGCCCACACAAGGACAGAAAAGAAGGTGATTGGCTCCATCACACCAGCAGGAGGACATGATGGCGGAAGCCTCCCATCAAAGTCCACATGGCCGAGCCAGAGGTGGAGCTGTCCTGGCTGACGGCTCCACCCTCAAGAGCCTTTCTTTCCCTTTCCCCTTCCAAGCAATAAACTGGCTGTTCACTTTGTCTCTCTGCCTCTGCTGCACGAGTTCTTTCACAGCCAGCAGCAAGGGCCCACCCTCTGGTGAGCTTCCTAATAATTTAGCGGTCCCTCCGTCTGCTAACACCTCCATCAGACTCTCAGCGTGCCAACTGCTTCCTGCCAGACACACAAAGCAGCAGTCGCACCCCGGTCCCCCTTACAACCGAGCCTGCTTTCTTCACTGGAGTAACTGGTACCTGTGTTGGAGACGTGTACAAAGCGCGGAGGACCACAGCAAAACGCACCTCACTCTGATAAGAAGGATCGGAAAAGGCTTTTCTGAACCAGTCGCCTGATCATGAGTCAGTCAGTCCCAAGAGGTGAAACAGGCAAACAGGGAGTGAGGAGAGGCGTGAGGACTGTGTCTCATTACCCAGAGCAGTTACGGAGCCCGCTCACGAGACAGTGACGGGGCTTGAGAAGGTTTCTGTGATGATCACTTACTTCTCCATCCTGACCCACTCGGGGAGATGCGAAGAGAGAATCAGCTCAATTCTGAGCAAGAGAACAAATGGCCTGTTCCCTCCCTTCAACAGATCCCCTGTCACTGAAGATAAACCCAACTCATTAGCATAATATACAACCCCTTGAGGATGTGCCCTGCCTGACCCTTGGGTCTCATCTACCAGCTCCCCCTCCTGTTGTCCCTCGAGCCTGCTGCTCCTCCCAAACCCATCATGCCTCTGTGTTTGTGTTCACGATCTCCTCGTCAGAGCTGCCTCCCTCCACGCCCCACCCGATAAACTTCTCTTCCAGACTCATCTCAGGCATCTGCTTCTCTGCGAGTACTCCTGGCCCTGAGACGTTTCCCTAGTGCCTCATGCAGAGCCCAGACAGCACGTCCGCAGCACAGACCGGCACTGTACTCACTCATGGCCAGGTCTGTCCACCCACCCAGCTGTGACGTCCTGGGAGCAGGTTGCCCAGTAAGTGCTTGGGCTCTGGAGGCCGGCTGCCTAGATCCACACCCTAGACTCTGCCCCAACAACTAGGTCTACTTACACAAGTAACATACCCAAGCCTCAGTTTCGTCATCCAGAAAATGGGGATAATTAACAGCATCTATCTCCTAGGGCTGTTAAGGGACTCGTGTAGAATAATCCCTGTTTCATAGTAAGCCCTCTATAATGGTTAGTTATTAATATGTATCTGCACATAACTTCTTTCCTATATAAAAAAGCTGATGTCTGTTGAATGAATAAATGTTCTATTACATTTTGTGCCACATAGATACCACATTCTCCTTGGCCCTTGTTTTATTAAATCATAAAGGGAAGACTCTTGTCTCTAAACAGGTGCTTAGTCCACAACTGGTGAAACAGGACCTTTTCTGTACAGGAATTCAAGCTTCCTGCCATTCCGCTGGCCTGGTCACTGAGACAGACAGTCTCCTGGGCTCCCAGCAATCTCCACACGCACCTGCCACACATCTACCCACAGAAGGGCAGGCTGGCTTTAATAGTTTACAGAGGCGTATTATCACAGCACAGGAGGGACTCACAGGGAAACTTTTTTTCATGCTGAAGCAGCGCAAAATTACTGCAGTCATGAGAGACTGTATAAGATCTAAAATGTGAGTTTCTAAGCCCTACGTCCTTAACTGTCACAGCCCTGGCACAAAGGCCCGGTGGGAGAGCCCCAGCCAAGACAAAAGATCAGGAGGTGAGCAGGGTTGGGGACCAGCTCCCGAGTGAGCCCGGAACGGCCCAGGTAACTTCCTAGGTAAGGCAGCACCTCGGGGCACCAGGCTAAGGACAGTGTGGCCACCTGGGAGCAACATCGAGGCCACACCCTCCCCGCAAGGATTCGTCAGTTTCCAGTCCCCCCCAACCCCGCAGCACCCGCCTCTCCAACGACTGCCCCCGGGGCTTCCTATGAAACCACCGACCTCGCCGGAACTCTCCGGAGGTCACGGCCACTTGTTAGGGACAATAAGAGGCTAACCTGATTATTTACAGTTAACCTGACGGTGTGTTAAGACGCAGAGAACGACCGCACCGTCTGACAAGCATCTCCCACTCATAAAAGGCAGCGCTCCACTTACGGGCCTCCTGGCGGGGGCGCCTTGAACCGAGTGGTAGAAGTCGGGCTGCACGCGGCTGCTCTTCTTGAGTCTCCGCTTCCGGGCGGCGATCTCCTGCTCGCTCTGGTGGTGCAGCTCCACCGCCGGCTTCGCCTCTTCCAGCCGGGCGGCCGCGGCCGCCGCAGCGCGTCTCCGAAAGTGCCGCGGGCTGGCTCGGAAGCCCTGCGCGGGAAACACAAGCACAGAAGCGCAGGTTGGTCCCGAGCTCCGGAGGTTCCCTGGGACTAGTGTTAGCGCTGCAGGGCGCTCCAAAGGCACCAGCTCGGTGAGCTCATTTATGACTCCAAAGTGAGCTCAACGTGAGCAAGGCTTGTGCGTTCCGTAAAGGGTCCAGAATCATTTTCCATTCAGAGATGCTTTTAATCCAAAATGCCAGTTAAAAAAAAATTTTGGCAGAGAGGGGCAGGTATAGCTCAGTGGTACAGTGCATGTTTAGCATGCATGAGGTCCTGGGTTTAATCCCCAGTACCTCCATTAAATAAATAAATAAATAGATCTAATCCCCCCCCCAAAAAATAAATAAATGAATAATATTTTTTAATTAAAAAAGAAAACACTGGTGGGCACATTGCTTTCCTTATGTGTGTACAAGGCAGACTAAGTGTGAAGAGGGGGGTCTCCAGGTGGGCGTGAAGAGGGTCTGGGGACAGGACTGAGTATTACCCCAGGGAAAGGGCCACTCTGTCTCCCTGGGAGAGGACTCCGCAGGAAGCAAGGCAGAGGAGCAAGGCGTTGTCATAAAACACCTTCAAGTGAAGATCTACAACTGAACAGAGGTAGTGCATGGAGGGGAGGGTGTGGGTGTTGGGGTCAGGCGGGCCTGCGTCCAAATGCTGCCCTGTTCATTACAGCGCCACATTTATTAAACGTTTCTGGACATAGAAAACAAATTTATAGTTACGAGGCGGGCAAGGGAGTGGGAAGGGATAAATTAGGAGTTTAAGACATGCAGATCCTAACTACTATATATAAAATAGATATACAACAAGGTTCTTCTGTACAGCACGGGGAACTATATTCAATATCTTATAGTAACCTATAATGAAAAGGAATCTGAAAAAAATCTATGTATGTGTATGTATGACTGAAGCATTGTGCTGTACACCAGAAACTGACACCACACTGTAAACTGACTATACTTCAATAAAAGAAGCACATAATACATTTAAAAATTTTTTAATTCATGATCTAATTTTTCTAACAGAAATGGATAACACTCCACTCACAGGGTTTTTAGGTTTTAAATAAGGCAACAGACGTAAAATTCTAAAGTACAGTATCTGGCAAATAGCAGGTGCTCAATAAAACGTTGTTTTTCCTTCTCTTTTAAAGTAAGGTGAGTCTAAGTACATACTGGCTAGACAAGAAACAAGTTCAGCTGAGACATACTGTGCACCTGGGTGTATGCAAATAGTTCTGGAAAATGATGTCTGTCCTCGTGTGGCTGACGATTTACTGCAGAACAGACTGGAATGTGCAGTGAAGGAAGCGGGGAAGGGGCGGTGGAGGGCACTCCTTGGGGCAGGAGGAATCAATCCATGAAGCTGAGCTTAGCGGAGCCAGTGGCATTTGAAGTGAGTAGAATTTATGGTCCAGGCAAGGGAAACAACATAAGGCAAGAATGAATAAGTAAATGATGTATGGATGGACAGACGGATGGATGGATGGATGGAATGTTTATGCAGCAATAAGCAATATTATTTGACGATGTGCCACGACTAGAACACAAGCCACACACGAAATCTGGTGAGAATCAGAGGAGACGAGATGTCAAGACTACAAGGAGGGCTTCTCTGAGGTTGTAGGTCTTCTTCTGAATTATAAAAGATGTATAAAGACTAAAGACTGCAGTAAAGGCATAAAGAACAGAGAGCATGAATTTCAGAGGGAGCAACAGGAGGAGGCGAGGCCATGTGGGGACTGAAGATCCACGTGCACAGGAAGGGTCTCGCGGAGGGACTCCGGGGAGGGCCTGCCGTCTGACCAGGGCGCCCTAGACACCAGACTGAGGACATGATGGAGAAAAAGATAGAAGTACGGGGTGACCTTACAGTCGGAGGAACGCGGGTCTCAACAGAAATCAACAAGGAAGAAATGCAAAACTGAGGTCACACTTTGGGCACTTTCTTCTCTTCCCAAACCCCTCCTCTGTGTCCTCCGCGGGGGCCTCCCCTGCCCCAAACAGGCCCAGGACACGTCTGGCTCCCACGGAATCCAAGGGCTGCTGCAGCAGCCGTGGTGAAGAGGATGGAGGAGAGGGAGCCCGGCGAGCCCCACACCGGGTTCCAGAGCAGAGTCACGCCGCACAGCTGCTTTTTACACAGCAAGCATTGTTGGTTCATTTTATTTTTTATTTTTATTTAATGGAGGTAATGGGGATCGAACCCAGGACCTCATGCATACTAAGCACGTGCTCTACCATTGGGCCATTCCCTGCCCCCAACTGCTTTTTAAATTTGCAGGTTCCTGGACGCCCCAACACACATACACCTTCCTTAGGAATTAGACTCACTTGGGGCGGGGCCCAGAATCTGCTCTTCCGTCCAGCCCGCCTGGTCACTGTCGCCGCTCCTGAACTGTAGAGGCGCTTAGTCACCACTAGGTGGCACTGATTCCCACAGCCCCCGCTCTCCTAGCTCAGAAGCCGGTGCGCTGGCAGAATTAAGTGTATTAGATCCCATCCTAGCTTCCGTCCTAGTGGAGTGAGCTGAGCATGTTTCTTTGGTAAGAATGCAGATTCTCCTTTGCTTATACTCTTAGGAGTAATATGCAACCGGATTTTGCTTAACTTCTATTATTATCAATAGTCCTTCGTGGCCCACAAATTCTAGAAACACAAAAACTACATAAAACTCAAAGTGATGGAAAAATTAAAACATGTTGGTACATTATGGAGAGCAATAACCCAATAAATCAACATCCCTTTATCTACTCGAGGAGAAAGTTTGCCAAGTACGCCCAAGAAGATACTCAAGCATCACTTAATAATGAAAATCAGAAACCGTTTTAAGCAGTCTTTCCTAAATTTCAGTCATTTTCATTCCACCTTCACATTTTTTTAAGATCTGAGCACATCATTCAGGTCTCTTTGATTTATCTTATATCCAAATACACCTGTACTATTTTAAAATAACTTCTTATAAGCACTATAGTGTAGGACACAGACTGCCATCAGAAAAAATGTGGGTTCATATCCTGCCTCTGTCACCTCCTAGCTGTGTGATCTTAAATAGTTTCTTAACCATTTCGTCAGCTGTAAAACGGAGATTAAAAATTGTACTTAATTGGGGAGAGGGGGTATAGCTCAGTTGGTAAAGCACATACTTTAGCATGCACGAGGTCCTGGATTCAATCTCCAGTACTTCCACTAACAAAAAAAAAAAGCACATAATTTCATAGGGATGTTGAGAAGAATAAATCAATGAATGTATGTAAAGTACTTAGAAGTGTGCCTAGCAGGCAGTGATATGTTAAGAGTTTACTTGTTGAATAAAAGATGTTCTTTTTAAAAATATATATTTTTACTATATTTTTTAATTTTGGGAGGAGGAGTAAATATGTTTTTATTTATTAGTATGGAGGTAGTGGGGATTGAACCCAAGACTTCATGCATGCTAGGCACATGCTATATACCACTGAGCTATACCCTCCCCACCAAAAGGTGTTCTTAAAGACAAAAGTGAGCTATTAATCAGATGTAAAAGGAAAAAGCATCCCACTGCAGGGGTGCCTTGCTGACAGATACCCGAGGTACCAGCCACCCTGATTATCAGGAGAGTTCTTTCCCCTGAAGAGTCCCAGGCACTTGCTGTCCTGTGAGTCAAACTGTCTGGGCTCAGACCCAGCTCTCCCACTCACTAGGTGTGTGATCTTGGCCAAGTTACTCCTCCGGGCCTCACTTTCTTCATCTGCCAAATATAGATAATAACACCTCTCTCACAGAGTCCTGTGGTGTTTAAATGAGACCATCACACTAGCCTGTTAGAACAGTACACAGACGACAGTAGTAGTCAACACACCATCCCCATTACGATTACGGTTTCACTTCCACGAAGCTGAAGCAGCAATTCACGGGCCGCAGCGCAGAGCCAGGATTACAAACACGGTAAACAGCAAGGAGTCATCACTGAGCTGTCACCTCGCTTTATTTCCCTAAACCACGGCATAGAATTATAGGTTTGTGGTTTATTACACTTGCTTTGTCCTAAGTCCTATAAAAAGTTAAGCCCTGACTTTTAATACAGAAGGCAATTTTCTTTTAAAACAGTAGATGGCGCTCTTACAGGCGTTACTTAAGATTTGATGGTGTCAGTATAAAGTCCGTTTCTCTCTACCCATTTGATCTTGCCAGCAATGCCCTTCAACCTGTGGGTGATGGGCACTTGAGAGTTTCTTGGTAGTGGACTTCTGCCACTTTCAAGCCACCCCGTTTTATCAGCACCTCTAGGTAATAGGTAATAACTTCTCAGCTGCGGGGTGTTGATAACAGGCCAAGTCAGGGTGCTCCACGGCCCCTCTAGACCTCGCCCCTTAATAACCAGGTCCGGTCCCCAGGACGCAACCAACTGCAACCAACCGCTCTGCTTGGATGCTTGGACAATGAATGCCAACCGGGGGCTTTCAAGGACCGAAAACTGCAGCAGGAGTTCATCAGCTGCTGCGCCCAAGACTTTCTGAAGCTTCCAACCACACGTCATCTTTTTTTTATCTTACTACATTTTTTGTGTGTAGGTGGTAGGTAATTAGGTTTACCTATGTATTTTATTTTTAGAGGCAGTACTGGAGGTTGAACCCAGGACCTTGTGTATACTAAGAATGCACCGTACCACTGAGCTATACCCTCCCCCTCAGACATTCAGTCTTGATTGTGATCTTTACCATTTATCTGCACTAAACTCTCTTTTGGTTTAAGTTCAAGTCCAATTCCACTGCCTGTAAACAAAACCCCTGCTGGATACTCTTTCTGTTAGATTTCAAGTGGCTATTTTCCTTGCACATTCAATATTCAGACTTAATCGGGCTGTTTGTGGAGACTGGGGATAAAAAAAGGGGGGGGATAAGATATTAACAGCAGTGAGTTACTAAGCACTATTTAGGGGCAAAGCCTATGTGTCTACTTCACAGACAGGCAAACTGAGGTTTATCAGGATTACGTAATCTAC